GCTATATCCTCGGCTCTCATGGAATTTTTATAGGTTTATTAGAAATCATGTGGCAAAAAATCTATTCTAGTAAACATAGCAGATAAATGCTTTCAGCTTAGTTTGAATCTTTTTTTTTTCTTTTTGAGACAGGGTCTCACTATGCAGTTCAGGCTGGCCTTGAGCTCACTTTGCAGGCCAGACTGGTCTTGAACTTGCAATGATCCTCCTGCCTCAGCCTCCTGAGTGCTGGGATTGCAGGCATGTGCCACCAGGCCTGGCTAGTTTGAATCTAAATCCTCGGAAAGAAGCAGAATTGTTGACTCCACTTGCCAATAAGGAACAGAATTTCTCTTGTGAGAACCTATCCCAAAGGCAAGTATTCCTCTCCAAATTCTGAAGACACAGGGCCTTAAGTGAGACCACGGTTATTCTCAAGGAAACAGAGCTCTTTAATGTACTTCAGAGTTGAGGAAAAAAAAAAAACCTTCAACCAGTTTAATCGTAAGGTAGCAGAGTGGAGATTAGCACATGTTCAATAAAGAGATTAGAATTTGTGTCTGACAAGCTTGAGGTCACCTAGGCAAAGCGTTTTGTGTCGAATCTTATTTAATGCGACCACAACTCTTAAGGGATAGTCCTTCTTAGGATCTCCAGCTTTCAGGTAAGGACTTTGAGGCTTGGAGAATATAAATGACCCAAGTAAGGTCTTATATCCAACTGAAGGTGGAGAAGGAACTGGAACCCAGTCGGACACCACTGCACAGAGCTCTCAGCTGCGTGCAGCCCAAGGAGTCTGCTAATGAACGAGTCACCCTGACCTGTGACTTTAGGCTCAGGATGGAAACGACTCCCAGGTCAGATATGATCCTGACATCTTGAATGGAAAAATCAATGGTAAGGCCAACAGCACGATTTAGTAGAGAGCATAATAGCTAGGCCAGCACTTCACTGTAGCAGTACAGATGAACAGCAATGTCCAAACAAATGACAATGATCTACATGATGTGTGCAAAAGTGACAATAGTGGAGCCGGGCGTGGTGGCGCACCCCTGTAATCCCAGCACTCGGGAGGCTTAGGCAGGAGTATCGTTGCGAGTTTGAGACCAGCCTGGGCTACAAAGTGAGCTCAAGGCCAGCCTGAACTGCGTAGCGAGACTCTGTCTCAAAAAGACAAAAAAAAAAAAAAAGTGAGAATAGTGACTATGAACAGCATTTTGTGATTCACCAGGGCCGTTCATATCTTCTTACCTAATTTCCTCTTCATATTGCTGCCTTGATGTAGGTGTCATTGTTGTCACGGCATAGATGATAAAAAGGAGGCTCAGCGTTTACCTCATATGGAAGAAGGAGTGGCATACCTCACCGAGTGGTCGCCCCATCTCCCTTCCCGCTTCCTTCAGTAAAGATGCCTTCGTGTTTGCTGTGGAGCTCAGCCGCACTTGCCTCACAACAGTGACTACAGGGACTGGATCAACACGAGCACCTGGCCTTCCACTGCGGCAGCCATTGAAGAGCAGCAGCCCGGGCTCTGGGCCTCAGCAAGGGCCACAAGGTGACAAAGAATGTGAGCAAATGCACAGCCACCGCTGCGGATGCCTCACCTAGCACACCAACTTCCTGCGGTACATGATCAGAGAGCTGTGCGGCTTCGCACCCTATGAGTGGCACGCCATAGAGCTGCTCAAGGTCTCCAAGGACAAATGGGCCCTCAAATTCATCAAGAAACGGGTGGGGACACACATCCATGCCAAGAGGAAGCACGAAGAGCTGAGCAACGTGCCAGCTGCCATGAGGAAGGCAGCTGTCAAAAAGGACTGAGCCCCTCTGTGTGGAATAAACCTTTGAAGAAAGAAAAAAAAAAAAAATGAGCATCTGACAGTCAAGTTTAGAGCTAGCTTTCTTTCTTTCTTTCTTTTCTTTCTTTTTTTTCTTTTTTTTTTTTGAGACAGGGTCCCTATGTGGTTCAGGCTGGCATTGAACTCACTTGGTAGCCTAGGTTGGCCTCCATGGCGATCCTCCTGCCTCAGCCTCCCAAGTGCTGGGATTACGGGGGTGTGCCACCACACCTGGCTTGTTTTACATTTCTGTTCAAGCTATTTTGACAAGAAGAAATTGTTAAACTCATGAGTGAGAGTCTGACGTTAAGGGCTGTCACTATATTTAAAAATTATAAATATTAAGCCAGCAGAAAAAAAAAAAAAAAAACCCTACCCAATGGAAAGCAGAAATGGAGATTTTTTTAAAAAGACTATACAGCCGGGCTTGGTGGTGCATGTCTGTAATACCAGCACTCAGGAGGCTGAGGCAGGAGAATCACTGCAAGTTCGAGACCACACTGGGCTACAAAGTAAGCTCAAGGCCAACCTGAACTGCATAGTGAGATCCTGTCTCAAAAAGACCAAAAAAAAAAAAAAAAAGAAAAAGAAAAATGAAGCAATGGGTTAGATGTATACATAGAACCTGGATGCATTTTAAAAGCAATGCTCAGTGAAAAATATAGAAAAAGGAAATGAAATTTAAAAGGTTTGTGCTCATATTGTTTGGACAATTAAATACCAATATCTTGTACTCTGGGTAACTAAAGATAACAATATGCAATGTATTGATGATTATTACCTCCCTATTACCTTGTTATGAAATTTTTTTCTCTTTAAAATAAAAAAATGAGATTTAAACAACATACCATTTACATAAATTAAAAATGCATTCATACATAACAAAAATTCACATTTTGTAAGAACAGATACAAATAAAAAGATACACATTAAATAGAACTTTGTTATTTAAAGGGAGAAGGGAAAAGGAATTAAAGAGAAAAAAATAAATAAGCCAGGTGCGGTGACGCACGCCTGTAATCCCAGCACTCTGGAGGCTGAGGCAGGAGGATCATTGTGAGTTTGAGGCCAGCCTGGGCTACAAAGTGAGCTCAAGTTCAGCCTGAACTCCATAGCAAGAACCTGTCTCAAAAAGATAAAATAAAATAAATGAATAGTTTAAAAGTGACATTGTTACAAACCAAAGAGTATCCCATATCCAAAGTCAAATCAACGAATCAACAAATGAGTGCAAAAACTGGAAGGAAATAAAAAGAGCTTTCTTCCTAATACAATTTTTTTACATGAACATCTATTAATTTGGAAAATTAAGTATGTAATCAGAAAATTTTCAAAAATTATCTGGAGGAATATCGTTCAGTGGCTGGAAGGAAACACAAAATTTTTCAGTCTATGTGCGGAATGGACAGAACCACACATGCATTTTTTCTCTTCTTAAAGTTACCCTGATTTCTGTAATGATTTTTTTCTTTTTCAGTGTTGGGAATTGAACCCAGGGCTTTACACATGTTAGGCAAGTGCTCTACCATTCAGCTACATCCCCAACCCAAAAATTATCTTGATTTGGAAATGATGTTTGTAAAATCAATCAAAATGAAAGGCTAGAGAAAAGTTAACAAAGGTGGGAGAAGCAGCCTCAAAAATATTAAATGAATCCTTATTGTTTACTCTCTATATATAGCTCAGCAGCACAGCACCTGCCTGGCAAGCGCAAGGTCCTGAATTCTATTCCCTGTCCAAAAAAAAAAAAAAAAAAGAAAAAGAAAAAAAATGTTGCCTACTCTGCCTTCAGCAGCAATAGATATTCATTCAACAGCCTGGTGTGGTGGAAGGATAAGTTTTGAAGCCAGATAAGCTGAGCTCAGAGAGGCGCTCACGCCTTGCTAACGGCCCCTCAGCAGGTGGCTTGCCTGCTCTGAGTAGTTTTTGCATCTGTAGAATGAAGATAATAATGGGATCCTCTGCAACGAACATAATAATGGGATCTTCCACCACGACTGCTGCGAAGATGAAAGGGCCGCTCGTGGGAAAGAAAAGCGCTTTCTAATCTGCCAGTGATTACGTTGTGAGTAGGTGGTTCCGGAAAGATAAATTCACGACCAGAGAACTTGCAAATAAGTAACAATTATTTTAAAATTAGGGCACAGAACAACAGAGAAACAAGGACTTTTGCAAAGTATCCTTCCTTCTGGTAAAAGGACATAATGGTAAGTGAAATCAGCCAGACACAAGGGCTCAAATATCTCAGGTTTCTCTTACATGGGAAACACAAATAAAGATCAAAATAGAAGAGAGACAAATAGGAAACAAGGAGACCTTCAAGTACTTCCCAAACTACAAACTCCATTCTTTTAAAAATATTTCAAAGTATATGCTAATTGATTTCATTTATACGAGTAGTTTATCTTAGTTCGTAGAAAAGAAAGATTTGTGTTATGCTTATTTCTTTTTGTAAGAATCTTTTTGGTTTATATCTTGTACTTTGAGTAACTACTTTGAAGGTAACAATACTCAGTATAATAAAAAAGAGACACTGGGGAGGCTGGGGCAGGAGGATAGTTGCAAGTTCGAGGCCAGCCTGTGCTACAAAGTGAGCTCAAGGCCAGCCTGAACTGCATAGAGAGACCCTGTCTCCAAAAAAGACAAAAAAAAAATTTTTAAATGAAAAATAAATTAAAAAATAAAAAGGAAATCTTGTTGGGCATGGTTGCATGCATTTGTTTGCAGGGGCAGGTTTGTACTGGGAATCAAACACGACCTCACACTTGCCAGGCGGGAGCTGTGCCACTAAGCTATATCCTAAACCCAGCACACACTTGTAATCCCAGCATTCAGGAAGCTGAGGCAGAAGGGTCACTGCAAGTTTAAGGCTAGCTTAGGTTGGGCTACATAGTGAATTCAAGGCCAGCCTGGGCTACATAGTGAGACCCTGTCTCAAAAAAAAATTCTGATTGGTTCAACACATTTGTAAGAGGAAAAATCATTGGGCATAAATACAATGATCATTGTTGCTCAGTAAATACTCAGCAAGACATATTTAAACAGAATAAAATTCCTAGACCTATTGGCATAAATTGAAAGTGAGGGTCAAGTTTATAGAGAAGCGTATTCGCCAACAATTAGTTTAATAAACACCACAATAATGATAATAGTTGGGGTTACCCTTTCGACTGTATATTTATAGTAGGCACCTTACACCCATTACTAGCTCACTTATTCCCTATGACAACCTCCTGAAATAGAAGTTACCACTCTTTCCACTAACAAGGAAATAGGCCCAAGATGGGCTGTGACTTCTCTAAGATTATATAGCGCGAAGGAGGTGGGCTGGAAATACGGATCCAACTTTATTTACAAAGACCAGGCTAACTTGCTCCCCTAAGATCACTAGCCGCGTGAACACCTCTCCTTACCCCACCGTCTGCTTCTGTGCCTAACCTTCCCCCTAGTTACAGTTCATCCTTCTGGTCCACATGGGCTGCTGCATTTCTACCCGGAAATGCTCTTTCACTATCATCTTGCGTCTGGCGGTCATCTTCCGGCTCCTCCTCGACCTCCCCTTCATCCTCTTCATCCTCCTCTGTGTAAAGTCCCCAGATGTCATCTTCTCGCTCCTTCTCCTTTTCCTTTTTCTTCTTGGCCTCTTCTTCCTGTCTTCTTTTTTCCATTTCTTCATACAGCTCTCTCCATTGCTTCTCTACATCCTATGTAAAACATGGAATTTCAAAGTAATTTACAGATGCTATCAACAAAGCTACCCCACTTTAGCCAGATCTGTTGTTTCTGGCTGTGGTAGCACACAGCTGTGATCCTCGCACTCAGGAGGCTGAGGCAGGAGGATTATCACAAGTTTAAGGCCAGCCTGGGATACATAGTGAGTTCAAGGCCACCCTTAACTACACAGTGAGATTTGGTCTCAAAAAACAAACAAAAAGCTGGGCATGGTGGCCCATGCCTGTAATCCCCGCACTCGGGAGGCCGAGGCAGGAGGATTGTTGGGAGTTCCAGACCAGCCTGGAATACAGAGTGAGCTCAAGACCAGCCTGAACTGCATAGCAAGACCCTGTCTCAAAAAAAAAAGATAAAAAAAAAATCTATTGTCTTCTCATTGTCTTAAAGATTTCTGGAATGGTGTTTATTTACATTCAAATTTTCAGTATGTGTGGGGCAGAAAGAAATATATGTGTACATATGTGTGTAATTTGTCCATAAGTAAAATTGGTCAGATTCACTGAATTTATTTATTTATTTTGTTTGTTTTGCTTTTTGTTTTTGGTACCGGGAATCAAACTCAGGACCTTACACTTGCTGGGCATCTGCTTGTGCCGCTGAGCTATATCCCCGGCCCTCACTGAGTTTACTGAATGCCTCCCGCACTGCTAAACACAGGACTAAACAATCTAAGGGCGTTATTTGTATTGAAGTTACCTGTTCCACTTCCAAGATGAGGGGTCCAAAGACTGAATTCCACACATTTCTTATTGCTTCCCCCACCCCGAATGGAAGACCCATTAGGGCAAAAACTTCTCCGTGCTACTTCACTGCTGTGTCTCCAGCAGCTACCGTGGCACTCTGAACAGACACTCAGCAAATATTTGTCATGTGAATGTGTGGCTGCATTATAGCCATTCTGTACTGAGCATTTATTCCACTCTGGGAATTTAGAGTGCTGTAGTTGCTGTCATTATTCCCAGCAGATAGATAAGGCGGGGGAAATACAACTTGCCCAAGTTCACAGAGCTAGTAAAGGATGGAGCTTGGATTTGCTCTTTTTTTTTTTTTTCTTTTTGAGGCAGGATCTCACTATGCAGTTCAGGCTGGCCTTGAGCTCACTCTGTAGCCAAGGCTGGTCTCAAACTCACAGCGATCCTCCTGCCTCAGCCTCCCAAGTGCTGGGATTACAGGTGTACACCACCATGCCCAGCTGGAGCTTGGATTTGAACGTGAGCAGCCTAGCTCCAAAACTCATGCTCTTAACCAATATGTAATAGAAACTCAATAAAACCATATTAGGTGATAACACCAAAGTAAAACAAGACAAAACCAAACTAAAAAGTGTTTTAGAGGTTTAATCATTTTTGCCCATGACAATTACTGCAATGCTTTTTCTTTTCAAAATATCAAGTACCAAAAAAAAAAAAAAAAAAAATCAAAATATCAAGTACCTAAATTCTCTCTCTCAAAAAACTATATATATATAGAGAGAGAGACAGAGAGACAGAGACAGAGAGACAGAGAAAGAGAGAGAGAGACAGACAGAGAGAGAGTGCCTGTGTTTTGTTAGTGCTCTTAAACATGAGTATTGGCTTCAAACCTGCTTGAATGCACTTTCCTGCAAAGCAAGGATACCAGAATACAGGGTGTCACCATCATGAAGATACTGTCCCAAGTATCCCTCCACCCATAAAACAGTTCTGGGAGAGGAGGGAGCTGGTAAACAGCTCTATCATTTCCTCCTTCCTCCATTTGAAAAGGGTTCAGCGAGGTCCTTCAAGATTACCACGCTGTGAGCAAGCTGCATGATGCCCAAAAGAGTTTGAGTTCTGGGTTCAAGTTCTAAAGTGACAAGTTAAGATTTATACTACTCTGAGGCTCAGTTCTATCTGCTAGCTCATGTTTTGTTTTATTTTGTTTTGTTTTGAGATAGGGTTTCACTATGTAGTTCAAGCTCACCTTGAACTCACTATGTAGCCCAGGCTGGCCTTGAACTCACGGTGACCCTCCTGCCTCAGCCTCCAGAGTGCTGGGATTGCTAAATCATTTTAAGTACTAAGTGCAATAAATTTCTCAAAGTGCTCACAAAGTCACAAGTACAGAGTTGGAGATATCCAATGGAGGCGAGTCATTTGTCCCACAGCTCCAAAGCCATGTGACCAGCAGTGGGACAATGACCGTGAGGCTGAGTTTGAGGATGCACATAACAGGGCCCAGCTGAGGAGTGAGATATCTGAAATCCAGGGTGGGGGACACCTTACCTTTCTTACTCCCCAGGTTTTATTGCCAACCTCTTCAGCAAACTCTTCATCATTTGTGAGAAGGAAATTGTCAAAGATACTGCCAGATTTCACCTGAGATGAGAACAATGACATCGTTACTACTGATATTAGGTACGTGGTTTCCTGGGCCATCTCACTTGGCTAGTGAAGTGGAGAGAGCATAAAGGTGCAGACACTTTCAACTATGGGACCTGGACAAGTGGCACCTCTGAACCCTCCTTTTCTCACTAATAGAATGGGGATGGGGCTTTCTGTGTAGCTCTGTGTACAGTGCTGGCCTAGCATATGTGAGGCCTTGGGTCCGATCTTTAGGACTGAAGGAAAAAAAATAAAGATGGCAAGTGCTTCCCTCCTGGCAGGAGGCTATGGCAGGGCCCACCGACGTAAGAGGTCTCTCTGGGCTTTGCGTCATCGCCAGGCTGCCTTCTGTGCAATTCCTTTAAAGACTACAAAGAGTCCCAAAGGAAGAGAAGACTTTTCTTTGTTTTCTGTTATCTTCTCCAGTCTCTGTCCTAACCAAACAATGTAATCACTTCCACCTGAGGGGCAAAAGTAGCTATTGTGTTTGGAGCTGTCAGAGCAGGAGCCAAGAGGGGTCCGAAGAAAAGGGGCAGAAAAGTCAACCGGCTTCCTAGGAGGACAGAGGTGGGCCAGGGAGGGCAACTGGGCCCTCAGAGATGGCAATCAGGGACTGAAGAGGGGCAGAAAAAGGAGATTCACCCTCTCCGTGCTTGGCATCACCTGGCTTTTCCAGCGAAGTGCAGGGGTGGGCGGGTGAACGGGGCGTCCCAGGTTGGCTGAGTGGGAGGGTGAAGCTGGACCTGTGAGTGTCCGGCCCAGCTACAAGTTAAATGCAAAGCCTGCAGAACCGTGTGGCACACAGAGCTACACACAGATACAGCGCTAATGCTGGGGCTTTAGAAGTGTAGTCTCGGGCCTCATCCCAGACCAGAATTTGCATTTTTTTTTTCACTCACCCCTGTGATTTGTATGCCTATGAAGGCTTGAGGCACACTCCCCTGGCATGGTTTACATTCTTCAAATAGAAGTTTGCCTGTCTAGACAGGTTGAGAGCATCCAGAGCAATTAGTGTGGTTAATTTTTAATCTTGTAGTTTAAGACATGTACCTTAATGTTTTACACGGAGGGGGAGAAAGCATTTTAAGGAAATAATAAGATTAGGTGTAGTGTTGTGATCACACATTTACAAGATATAGAAAGTTTTTTGGTTTTTCTTCTTTTGGTGTTTTTTTTGTTTTTTGTTTTTGTTTTGTTTTGTTTTGTTTTTTTGAGACAGGGTCTTGCTATGTAATTCAGGCTGGTCCTGAACTCATTTTGTAGCCAGACTGGTCTTGAACTCGTATCGATCTTCCTGCCTCAGCCTCCTGAGTGCTAGGATCACAGGTGTTGCACCACCACACCCAGTCAAGATGTAGACAGTTTTTGTTGTGCATTAAAAAATGACAAGTGAACCAGGTGTGGTGGCAGTCACCTATAACCCCAGCACTCTGGGAGGCTCAAGCAAGAGGATCACAAATTCAAACCCAGTCTGGGCAACTTAGTGACTTAGGGAACACCTGTCTCAAAATAAAAAAATAGCTGGGTGTGGTGGCACATGCCTGTAATCTTAGCACTCAGGAGGCTGAGGCAAGCCGCAGAGCCAGAAGAAAAAAAAAGGAGCAATAACTGAACTTGTGCAAACTGTATCCACATTCCTCAGATAAGCCAGCAAGGAAAGAAAGAAAAATATACCTTTGTCCTTTCCCGCCTCCCAGGTCTCCTGAGCCCCTATCTGACACAGTAATTTACATACATGGCCTCTTTGCACTCCTATGTGGTCTCCTTAAGCTGGGAAACAGCGAAAGTAGAAATAAATGAAATAAGAAATTGATAATAATAATAATAATGGAAAGAATAATAATAAATAAGAAAACCTCAAATGGGGGCACCTGTCCCAGAGACCTTGATGACTGTAGACCGTAAAAATCACTTGCCAGAGTCAGAGGTTTCCAAGAGCAACGGGGCTGGCAGGACATGTGCAAGGACAAGTGGCTGTGGTTGTCACGGGCTTCCCTGTACTGTGGACGTAGTAGATCCCGGAAGGGCTTTGGAGGCTGACGACCTGTGTCTGAGTTATTCCCTACCGTGCACTAGATGTGTGCTCTTCGGCACAGCACTGGGCATCTCTGCCTCTCAGTGGTCTCATAGGCAAAATGAGGTCACAATAAAGGATAGTAACATTTACCTTACAGAATTATAAGAATTTAGGGAGGGAATGTGGGTAAAGCACTGACCCCAGTCCAGTGTCTACCAACAAGAGTTCCCTTCCTTTCCAGGGGAGTTCTTCCATCACTCTGCAGGTTGCAGGCTATGGACCTCCTGGGAGGAGTTAGGGGTCACAACAGGTCTCAGGGAGAAAGAGATACAAAGAACAAAGATACAAAGAACAGCTCTCCGAAGGGCTGAATATCTGAGGCCTCCTCTTTCCCTTCCAGTCAGGGCCGAGAAAAGATGGCTGCCAGGGAGAAGGAAGTTAGGTCATGGCTGGGGCAATTACTGTCAATATCTGCGCAGGGATTTTAATGTTTCAGACTTTGCTACATTTCTGATTTCTGTTTATCGGCAGAAGCACTCCCCGCAAATCATATGGAACCAGCAGAAGTATCATGGCGTTTCAGAACCCTGGTTCTGGGTGCCAGAAAGACCTGCCCTCAGATCCTAGCTCTTCTGCTCACCTTACCAGATGTATAGCTTCAGGCAAATTATTCGTTTTTTCCGAGTCTCTTTTCCACACCTAGAAGATTTACAGTGAAAATTAAATGGTATCTGCCAAGTCTTTAATATAGTGCTTGGTACATGATAAGGGTAAAGTATATTTTAGTTCTTATAATTATTGGGATGAATATAATAACCCCTATTTTAAAGATGAGTAGTTTGAGGCTCAGAAAGATCAAGATTTATTTAAGTGCAAGGTTTCCTACATGTACCTTTTTTTTTTCAGGTTGGCTGGGACATTAAATTTTTTTTTTTTTTTTCTTTTTTTTTTTTTTTTTTAGTGCCGGGAATTGAACTCAGGACCTTGTGCTTGCCAGGCAGGCGCTTGTGCCACTGGGCTATATCCCTGGCCCCAGCATGTAGCTCTTTCCACTTTGTGAGAACTATTAAGGCTGTTGATCAGTGACTCTTTGAGCCTGGACTGCTTTACCTGCCAAAGATCCAAGCCGAGAACACTGATGTTGTAATAGTGGCCAAGAGTGGGGTCAGGCTTATATTCAGGGTTGTCTATTTCTGGATGAATCCACTCTCCCTGGTAACTGGGATTGTCAATGATCCGAGGTTTCCATTGTCCCTAAGCAAAGAGCCAAAGAGGAATCATGTCAGTACTATTTTTCCATTCTTCTAACTTCATGAAATTAAAAAAGGCCAGTCAATTTATGAAAGCAGTTGTCTGTTAGACATAAGGGTTCAGAGCAAGATCCCTGGAGCTTCTTTCTCTTTCTTTTGAGCTAATGCACAAGACTCTTACAAATTCCCCTTTCTAAGGGAGGTAAATGACATGGTAGTGATAATCCTGAGCCTGGCCCTGGCCCCATTTCTGCAGGAACTGATATATCAAGTTTATTTTTCTTTTTCTTTTTTTTATTTTCTGTCTTTTTGAGACAGGGTCTCGCTATGCAGTTCAGGCTGGCCTTAAGCTCACTTTGTAGCCCAGGCTGGCCTCGAACTCTCAACCATTCTTCTGCCTCAGCCTCCTGAGTGCTGGGATTACAGGCATGTGGCACCACACCCGGCTGATATATCAAGTTTAAAAACAAAATCTAGCTTCTCAGACAACATCATTTACATATTTGGCACCTGGGACCACTCTCTGCCAGGTATAAAATACAGGAAACTGGCCAAATAAAATGCTTATCTCAGTTGCTGGACTACTTGTCAACTGATTCCTTTAGTTTTTGTTTTTTTTTTTTAAACACGGCCTCTCTAAGTTATTAAATTGTCCAATCTGGGCTTGAACTTGTGATCCTCCTGCCTCAGTCTCCCAGAGAGCTGGGATTACAAGTGCGCACCCTGCTCCAGGTTAGCTCTTCTCACTTCTGACCCGAGGTCGGGAGCTGGTGTGTAAGAACGCTAACAACTCTGCCCTCCTAACAACCTGAGTTCATGCCTGGCCTTCCCCTTCCTCCCCAGCCCACTTCCAACACTTTCCGTTCCTGACCTCAGGCTCATGTCCTACGAAGACTGCATTCCTCTGAGTGGCAGTTTTCCACTGCTTTGGTCAGACTCCTTACCTGGAGCTGCCTGAACTTCTACCACAGCCTCTCAGCACCGACTTTCCCAGCCCACCCGACCCCAAGAGGGCGCAGCACAGAGCTCAGCTCAGGTCACAGTCCTATCCGGGATGTGCAGGAAAGGGAAAATGACCACAGTCCTAGAATTACTGTTTTGCTTTTACTTGTGGCACTGGGGATTGAACTCAGGGCCTTGTGCGTGCTAAGGCAAGCACTCCACCACTGAGCCACATCCCCAGCCCCATGTAGTTTGGTTTTCACAATGGGCTTTATCTCACTTCTGCTTTATTTCTCATACCCACCCGAAAGAGAGACCCCCTCACCTTATACTTCAGGTTTGGGATCAGGGGTCCTTCCCACTCTCCATCTATCGCTTCGTTCCAGTCGTCCGGCTTTTTGGCTTCTGGGTCTGGGATGAACTCAAAGTCCTCCCAATCCTACAATGACATGTTCCTTCATGAGGACAGACGTGTGGTCTCGGATGAATCTGGGGTCCCACTTGCAGTCGGGGGGAGCTGGCTCTGGACCCCAGTGCCCTCCTGCACATCTGTATGAGGGCCCAGGAGAGGACTTTACAAAGTCCCATCTCAGCAGGAACCAGCCTCGGGGCAATTCTGGTCCCCTGTGGGTTCAGTATCGCTCCGACTTGAAGCTCAAATGAACTAGGGATGTCCCCTGTCTCTGACCTCACCCTGCCCAGTCACGTATCCTGCTGTGGTTTGGATGTCGTTTGTTCCTAGTGAAATGTAATTGCCAGTGTAAGGGTATCAAGGGTTGTTGACA